GTTTTTCCATAAGATCCCAGCTTTTCACACGGTTTTATTCGAGAGAGAGAGCTGATCTACAAAATGCACTAGATTTCTTCTATATTCATTGCAGGCTTACTGAATTACAGGTCTGCAAAGTGGTAGGTCCAGTAGATGTGATTTAGCCAAACGGACGACTAACTCAAACTCTACGTCTTCCACAAGTAATCAATCAGTAGCGTGCCCTTAATTTGAATACGACCTCTTCTTAACCACTATTGAACGTTCTAACAAGCCTCATCGTTCTTATTTAAAATTCATTTTTTTTTCGAGTAAGCGCTGTACGGTTTTTTCCCGGAGCACTTTTCCCCTAAAACTCCATGATCTCACACAACTTCACATATCATTCTTGAGCGTTCTTTCTGCTCTTTTCGAACTCCTTTTTCGATTCTCTTTTCGTTATGATTTTGCTAAAAATTTTAGGCGTACGTGATAAGGAGGTCATATTAATGGTGACATTTCTTCAAAAAATCTCTCAAAAATGCATAAACAGGTCAGTGATACTTCCCGTACTCAGTTACGACTGTTTCTGAGCAGTTCGCCAGGTTTTCAATGCCTCGGCGATAAAAACTGAGTCTGTTCTCGTCGAGATAGCCGTCAACCATCGAGTTGTGGTTGGATAGCCAAATTTTCAAAAAGAATGATGCGGACTTGCTGGGGGGGGGGGGTTAAATGGTGGAATCTCAAGAAGAAGTCGTTCTAAGTACAGGGTACATTATTGATGGATTCCTTTGAGAGAAATGTAGAGTTTGAGCTAGTTGTCGATTTGGCAAAGTTTTCTTGTTTAGACCTCCCAATTTTCAAGCCTGTGACTCAGTTAGCCACAACGGATATAAAATGGATACATTGCATTTGGTAGAGCAGACCATTCTCTTTCGAATAATATATAAAGCTATGTGAGAAGCTGGGATCTCTTGGGAAAAATTTCCCTCCAAATAAAAAGGCACTACTTGATGGACAACCTAATAATTTCCATTGGTTGGCTGAAAGTCTATTTCCCCCACATTTTCGAACTTCAGTAGTTTCCAGTAGCATCACCACTTCCACTGCAGTTAATCTCATTCACTACAGCGTGCATCGGTTGCTGCTGCTGTCATGATCGCTGCTGTGGGGGGCAGTCTCGAGAGAGCCTGAGTCGTGGTTATAACGCTTAAGATGATAGTTAGATGTAAATATCTTGAGATTTTCTCAACTTGATGCCAATTCGGCGTAGCCATGCACGTAACATCTAAAACAAGGCGCGACTTTGAACGCTAAGCTATGGTAAAGCTGGTTTGTGGAAGGACAGAACCAGTAATCTGTTGTTAGGTTTTACCGTATTCATTGCCTTGATCTGTGATCTGAATTTGTGCCTTTTCAAAAAAAGATTTGCCTCAATGAGTTTCCAAATCGGTCGCATTGCTCAATAAGATCTTACTGTCTCCTTTTTTATGCAGTTGGTATTTGTTGTGTCAACTGTTGCTTGAACGTTTCACATTGGCCATTTCTTACAATTCTGTATCTGTATGAGCTTTGTAAAATATCTACGAAATACCGCTTAATGAATATCGGGTGCTTTTTCTTTGGCTATAATTTGCCCATCGCCGAAGCAGTACAATAACCTGTCAAGTTGGTGGCTTCCGGCTGGCTCCATTTGCATGCTGAGTATGAAGAGGAATAGTCTCCTCTTAATTTATTTTGTCGGC